TCCCCGGCCGGCTCCTCTCCTCCGCGCCCTGGCACCCCGCCCCCAGGGTCCCGAGCGCGCCCCTCCTGCAAAGTCCGCTCTCCTCCCGGCCCGCAGGGTAGGAGACAGGCAGACCCAGAACCTCAGTTTCCCGACACCCGGTGCAGGCCAGGCCGGGTCGCGGGCGAGAGGTGCACGTCGGCCCCGCCCGCTGTCCCGCGCGCCCGGGGCGCAGAGCCGGGAGCGGGGAAGGGGCGTCCTCCGGGAGGGGCCCTGGGCGGGGGCAGCCGAGCGGGAGCCTCCGCGGGAGCGCATATGCACACGCACACGCACACGCGGGCCCGGAATCCCGCGGGGGCCTTGGGCTGCTGGGCGGCTCAGAGGGGAGGAGGGCGTCCGCGCCGCGCGGCCCGCGCGCCCGACGGCCCCGGAGGAGGGCAGTGTGTGGAGCGGAAGGTGGAGCCGGGAAGGCAGCGGAAGCCAGGAAACGCGAGAAGGTTCCAGGGCAGAGGGATGCTGTGCTCCGGGGGCCTGGCGCACAGGCGGCGCCGAGCCAGCCCGGCGGGTGCAGAGCGGCCGGGTGCGCGGCCTGCGGGTGCGCCGCCTGGGAGCGAGGCGCGGCGCCCGGCGTGCAGCGGGGCCTGGCGTTTGCCCTCGGGGCGTCTGGGGAAGAGCGAGGGCTATGCAGGCGCCCCCTTCAAGCCCCCGGGGCCGAGCCTGCGCCCGGTGCCCAGAGGGACCAAACACACCCCGGGCAGGGAGGCCGGGAGTGACAGCGGGGCCCGCTTCGGACACCGTCTCCCCCAGATCCTCGAGTTGTGTTTCTGCATCTAGGGCCCGACCTCCTCACCCGACCCCCTCGCCCGCATCCTGCTCCTCAGCCACCTTCCCAGTCACGGTGCAGCGTGGAGGCCGGCCGGCTGACAGCCTAGACACGGGGAAGCCAGCCGGCAACTCCTCAGGGACTTGTACGAAATCAGCAGGTTCTGCCCCTTCAGTCGTGGACTCACCCTCCTGGGAGAAAGCGGGCCGTGGGGAGCGAGAAGGGCAGGGAAGCAGGGGTGGAGGAGGGGCGGCTGTGGTCCCTGAACCCTAACCCGCCCCCCGACACACACGGAGCCCACCTTTACCACAGGGCTGTCCAGGGAGGCCAGCCCGTCTCCGAAAAACACCACAGCTAACTCAGGAGACAGCTCCTGCGGAAAACAGCAGCATGCTGGAAAAAACAGCCCTTGTCCTTGTCCTTACATGCCGTTCTGAGCGCACCTTCGCAAATGACATCTTTGCTATAAGCAGTATGGCCTTAATTCCTGGTGGAAATTTCTCTTGGAAACTTCGACACTCCTGCAAAGCCAAAAAGCCAAGTCTAAAGACTCCCATCTCAGCCGTGCCCCAAAGGTTACCACTAGCATGATGTGGACTTCTTCCTTGTAACCCCAACATGTGTTTCCAAAGGAGTCTTTCTGGCAGTGTCCCCGCATGTCGAAAACCAGTGGTGAACACCTTAGCCTGGCGTCCATAAATAGATCGCCCAGACCGTTCTGCCAGCTGTGAGCTCCTTTGACTCCAGCACCATTGCTCTCCCTGCCCTACAACAGGGAGACCCTTAGACCTTTTCACTCTTCTTTTCATTAACAGGTTTACCTTGCCTGACAGGCTTTTTCTGTTGTTTTTGTTCGGACATGCCAAACCTTGGCGTTTAGTAAAACATGCTTAACATCTACTGGGCGTAAAAAGGGCTTGGTCTACAGTTCATCCTGCTGATTAAAGACCTACATGGCTGAGTAAGGCAGTTTCTACATCCTCCACCCGACAACGGATTTTCCTGAAAATCCGTGGCACAAGAGATAGGATGGCTCCTTCTGGATGGCGGTTTTCCAGCCTGGCTGCAGGGAGCCACTTAGCATCGGCAGCCACAGCCTCACACCTCGGAGCTGTCGGTCAGTGGTGTCAGGAGCCTGTCAGCCTGCACCCACCTGGCTGAGGTCAGGGGTCCAGAGGCCTGGTCACCCTCCCTTCCCTGACGGCGACCGGCCGCAGTTTAATGGCCTTCTCGCTGACTCCAGCATCGTGGCAGGTGTTCAGTGCTTCGGTCACGTTCTTGTAGGACTCAGGAGCCTCTTCCATAACCAGTTTGGGTGAGGCCGCCAGGATTGCAATCCCATATCTGCCCATTTGTCTGAGACTTCCTGGAGATCTAAATGAGGTCGAGATTTTGCTCGGGACAATGCACCGTGGCAGGTGGCTCCAAAGTTCTCCGGCATGCCTCGTTCAGTGCCTGTGAGAACGTAACTGCAGGTTCCCATGGTGCCCCCTACGAGCGCTGGCTATCCAGAGAGCTGGGAGTCCACCGAGAAGAGCAGGTGGTGCGGAGGGAAGGCGCGGGTGGACCCCTTCCCGTGCCCCAGCAATGCCCAGTCCTTCCTATCCACTGCATGCTGCTCTGCCTCGGCAGTGCTGTGGGAAACATCGTAGATCACACGCAGGTCCGGGGCAGCTAGCTTGTGTTGGAGTCCTTGGCAAAAGCCTGGTGGGTTAGGAAGGTCCCGGAGGAGTGCTTGGCCCAGGCACAGTTGCCAGGGGCTGCCATTCCCTTTGAGGTAGTCCTGGCCCTCTGGGGCGCGATCCAAGCACAAGCCAAATGCTGGTCATTGACTATGAGCTTGTCTCTCTTCACGGCCTTCTCCATAGCATCAGTGCGTCTGTGGCTGCCCGGTGGCCCCGGCGGCTGCCGTTGTGGATCATGACGCACACCTGCCCCTGGCGGCCGATGCCATCTGCTTCGCAGCATATTCACTGACGATGTCGTCCACAACCTGGATTTCTGTGTAATGGCTGCCTGCACCCAGGGTGCCCAGCTGAGGAAGAGCTCTCTGTTTGCCCCTCCCTGAGACCTGACTGGGTCGGCCTGAGGCATCCTTCGGTGCTATTCAGTGCTCCTTGTCCTCAGCCCAGGGACAGCCCTCTCTCGGGGACCAGGCCACACCCATCTCCACTGCTCCTCAGGCCCTTGGTGTTCATCAGGATGACCCCTTCGGACCCCACCCCGACCAGAATGTGGTCAGACCGCTTGGCCAACTGCTCCTTCACGGGCTGCGCCTGGCTTTCATCCTTCACAGCAGGCGGACAGCACAGTTGATGTCAAACCTGACAGCACGTGGGGACACCAGTGCTTCCGGGTCATTCATACCGAAGGCTGCCACATTCCCAACAGTAAAGCCACAGCCTGAGTGAACATCGGGGGCCCGGTGGCTCGATGAATAATTCCAGGCAGGGCTGCCACACTGCCAGTCTGCTTCCTGGCTGGCAGGAGGCCAACACCACCTCCTTGACAGGCATTCCTCAGTTCCGCAAACATTAACTTCTCTAGAGCATCACTCACATGGAAGATGCCTTCAGTCTGCATAATGGCACGAAGCCCTTCTTGCTCTTCCAGCAGGTATCGCTGACCTTCTCAGGAACTGCAGCTCATCGTTCCCGCGGTGGAGAGCAGCCAGCATCGCAGGGCACCTTCCCTGACGGCCATTCTGTGGGGACATTTAAGAGATTCCCCCAAAGTGTCTGTAAATAAGTCCTAGCAGATGAACTCGGAACTCCTCAAAATTCAAATTAGCACAATCTTCCCAGGCGAATTAATATGGCTTTAGGACGGGGGACAGGCTTAGTTCAGAGTGACGGATGAAAACCTGCCCCTCTGAAAACATTATGGTGAGTGCTTTTAGGAAGACTGAGTTCAAGGAAATGTCACCCATCAGGTGTCCTCGACAACAGCCAGGATGAAATAGGAAAAAATGACCGTTTTAGGTGCACGATGCATCCTGACTTCATGCCTGAAGAACGACGTGCTAAATGACTTAGCTATGAGGAAATACAAACATGCTCGGATAAAAGTTTCTAGGCATAAGTGAAAAGCCCATCTTCACTGAGACTCCGGTCGAAAGTGAGGCTATTTAAGGGGATGAGCACTTAGGCATTGCAGAATGGTCCAAGATCGCCTGTCCTTTACCCTGAAGATAGGAACCTCAGGTAGGGCTTGAGCTGCACTGACTGAATTACAGTTGGTCCTTTGGCCAAATTCCTAGGATGTATCCAGTTAGCATTCTGCTAGGCACAGCAAGTGTAAGGCCTGGCTCCTGCTCACAGCAGCCGTAGCTGTTTAGGGAAGGAACATAGGTGAAATTAACTATCTGTGATTTGTTGGCAACTTAGCACAACTAAAAAGGCATCTGCAAGAAGCTTAGGAAAGTTGAGCTTAGAAAAGCATCCTTCAGGATGTGAGAGGGTGTAAGGGAACGCCGTTGTGTTAACTGAACTGTGCTGTGTGTATTCTTGAACCTGGAAGACCTCTAGGTCTATTCTATGGCTCGCTGCTGTTTAAGAGAACAGTGGTGTTGAGTTCAGGGACAATTAAAGCCCCAGGAACACAGACACCAAGGCGCTAATGGGGTTGGTAGCTTTGGAGGCCCCTCCATACCTACAGAGGGGACAGCAGCCTCCAACGTCTTCCTTCCTAAACTCCATTCTTCTCCCCTTCTCTTTGTGAAGTTATTCTAATGTGCTCAAACCTTTTCCTTTAAAGATTTGGAAGACCTATAATGGATTTTTCTGCCTTTATGCTTTGACTGCCAGCTAATTTCCTAATTTGGAGTTAATTACTAAACTGCTTAAAAATTTAAGGCAAAGAGGCCAGCACTTACTGACAAGCTGCCCCTGCATCGCCATGGTATTTGAGACACAGGCTTGCAGCCAGGAACAGAAACTTCTCTTCAAACACAGAACAAACAATTCCTTGCCAGGGAGCTTCTTGGAGATGTTTTCCCAGCCATTCTCCACGAGCTGTGCTGCTCTCTTCGTTTGTAAAGTTATGGAGGAATTTGAAGCCTTAAAGGATGAAGAACAACTTCTAGCATTAAAGCTGTGTCAAACAAAACTATGAAACTCGCGTTTCTGTCTGAGGATTTTTATTGTGAAGGCTTTCACTCAGTCACTGGAGAGGGCCTTTTGTTCTAACTCATTTGGTGCCTTTATTTTATTTGAGTTGTTTTCACTCTTTCCTTTGCTGTGGTAAAGGTTAGTTTGGGGGTTTGGTTTTTTTTTTTTTTTTTTTTAATGTATAATGAACTTGAAATTACTTGTGTTAATTTTAAAAAGTATGCTAGTCAATAATAGATAGATAGGGCCAGGGATATAGCTCAGTGTCACAGCGCCTGCCTGGCAAGCAAGAGGTCGTGAGTTTGATCCTTGGTACCAAAAGAAAAAGCTAGATAAAAGGAAACCGAGAGATATGGGAGCAGGACCAAGAGGAGGGGAGAGGAGGGGAGGGAGGAGGAGAAGGAGACAGAAAAAGACTGAAGATGTGCCGTGTTCATGTACCAGCTGCCCAAAACGATGTATTAAGTATGTACCCCAAACGACAAGCAGGTACTAATAGAAGATGGCGCTAGTTACCTGATGGAGTTGGTTTCTTGCAATCTCACCAAAAGCAGTGGAGAACTCAGTCTCATCGCCCAGCAGGGCAGCAGCGCTGCATAGAACCGCTGAGGGGAGGATGATGCTGACGCTGACCGGACCGAGCTGCGCTGAAGGCCCCGGCCCACACTCGCGGGGTTCGCTGTAGACCAGGGCCTGTGGGGCGCCCCCTGGAGCTGGGCAGCCCGTGGTCCACTGCTCCTGCCCTTCGGAGTGGTCTTTTCTTACTTGGAATTCCTCATCATGTACTCCCAATTCTTACTTAAAATGTATTTTACACATGCATGAAGAGCAGGAATAAATATGTTAATATAGTCAAATCTCAGACAGCTATGTACTGTGCTTTTATCTTCTTTGCCATAGTAAGGCCTCAACCCATGCCCTTCACACTGAGCTGTACCCCAGCCCTTTACATATATATAAGTATATATAGGTCTCACTAAGTTGCCCAGACTGGACTCAAACCGTCAATCTTCCTGCCTCAGCCTCTCACCGTGCCAGCATGACGGGTATGACCACCACATGTGGTTGAGATGTATACTTTTGATACTTTTCCAAATTTTCAACAATGAGCATGCGTTACATAACCAAGAAAGAGTGGGAAATGTCATTTAATAAGTTCTGAAAATCCCACCTTCAGGAAGCAGAGTGATTAATCACCAGCGCTGTCTTTGGTTTCAGCTTTCACTCCATGTAAACTTCGGCCAGCTATTGAGTCGTGCTGTGTCTACGTTGAGAACTCTTCCTCATTTTTGACTTTCTATGCCATAAGAAGTGTAGACAGGCAGTTAATTTTTTTGAGAGG